GTAATCTAATATTACCCATCAGTATCCGAAAGTTACTCAAGCATTAATAAAGTAAGGCCTAAAGGCCTTTTTGGGTTTGCAAAGAAATATTTATACATATTAATAATTAATAAATAAATATATATTAATAAATATTGATTTGTTATTTGGTTATAATTTAGAAAAATATTTAAAACTTATTTAATTGAATAATTCAATTCGCTTATTCTATTTGATATGACCTTCTTTATTGACTGGCATTAAATAAATATTTCTCATATCTTATCAATTTACCAAACATATCACTTTAAGCATGGCTATCAGACTGTTATTAAGTGTTATTAGCACAAAATGTAATAAAGTGATAAATAAATAAATTAAAGTTCCAAGTTTTAGCTACCTTAACTGGGGAAATTTTGTAGGGATTCAATTTAATGAAACAAAGATAATAATATATCACTTATCAGCTCTTGACTTTAAGAATAAAATTAATTAAGAGTTCAAAGACGAATTCAAAATATAAATTATACAATAAATATTTAATTAATATTAAATCAAATTTTATTGTATAAAATATATATATATTTTTTCAGATCTCTCTTTGTTCTTCTTTAAAGTTTCGCCTCAGTGCATTTGAGAAATTGTGTTGCACTTTTGTTGCCATTGACGTTGTTAACGATTTTCAAATAGCGCGCGGTAGTTGACACACCCCCCTCCACTCCCCTCTCCCCCCTCCGTACATCAAACCCACCCACCCACCACCCCTTTTAGTGTCGTCATTAGCAACGTCGCCGGCAAAAAAAAATTGTTATTTCTCTTGTTTGTTTGACTTTCGCCTCGTTCGGTTTTCGTTTTTTGGTTTTTGTTTGCTCCAACGCTGCTCTATCAGTGGAACTTCTGCACATTTTGATAAGAATCCCCCTCCCCCTCCCCCTTACCCTCTCATACTTTTTTTCTATTTCGTTTTCTAGCTACTACACGTTAATTTATCGCAATCGTTTTTGGAAATCGGTCAGTTAATGCCCGGGGGCTGACCACATGGCTCATTACCAAAATGGGAGCAAGAGCTACCCAAAAAAGGGAGAGGGGGTGACGACTTGGCAATAGAAATGGCCCAAAGAGGGGGCGGGGTATTGGGCTGATAAGGGCTAACTATAAAAAAAATGCATTTATATAGGTGAAATATCAAGTTTTAAGACTTGAAATTCAACTGGAAAGGTCAGTTTTGCCTTCTTTTGTTGCTTGATAAGCAAGATTTTAATGATATTCAATAATTAAATTATTTCCAAGGGTGTTAGAATAAAACATTATAAAGGAATTTGCGAAAGAAATAATTTCGAAATAAACTACACAGTGAATTTGAATTAACTTGAAGGGGGAATACCCACAAAGCTATGTATATTTATATACTTTTATAGACTAATAATTAAATAATTTAACTGAAGTATACTGTGTAAGTAAGATATATCTATGCTTTTGCAGTGATTAATAAAAATAACCTCTAACATCTTAACCTCATTTATTAAAATTATTTCAAATTCCAAATACGTTGTTCAATAAATCAGATTTCCTTCATTTTTAGATACACATTCTTTTAATTATATATACCTGCACATGTGTTCAATAAAAAATATATATATAAATATTCGAAAAGATCTATATATATATATATTCTCTTGAGATATTGAAAGTATATAGTGGCTATAAGGCGACAACAAATGTTGATGCTATAAATATTAATATTGGTCCAATATATTTTGAAAATATATCTAAATTAAATGAGAGTTTTTAGCATATTCTTGATCTTTTACCCTTTAAAACACAAAACCCTATATTCTTAGGTATTATTATTTCTCACATTAATTTCCTTGAAATTATCGAACTGCACTTCCTGATTTCCCAGATCGCCGGAATGTTCTATATAGTATTCCATTCGATTTATCTCTTTTGGCTCACCTTTGCACCAAAAACAACACACTCCATCCTCTTCAGATTCAACCGAGTGTGACATTTGATTGGATTTTCGCGTATATATTTCATTTTATTCATTTGTTTCCTTTTTTCGCTTTGCTTTTTGTTATTTTTGATTTTGATTCGCGAGATATATGTATATATACACCACACATATAGAGGTATGCAAAGAGCTCTGCGCAGCAGATATAAAATATATTTGCACACAGCCACATGTATCAGGCTATATCATTATAGATATAATTTCCACATATCGATGAAATATATGCGCTACACGTTTGTTTTTGTTGTTGTTATGGACTAAATGCGTCAATTAAATATAAAAAGGAATAATAAATGAAATATAGAAAGTAGAAAATACAAATTTCAAATCCAAGAGCCACAGAAAGATCACAGCTCTTTGGCATCTACTCTCTGAGGGGGAATTATAAATAAATTATAAATTTTCAATGACACCATAAATTGGAAGATCTTTCAGGTGCACAGGCGAAACAGTCGGAAAAGTCGGAAAAGTTGGATAGCCGAAAGGAAAATAAATACAAATTATTGCATATCGACGACGTGTTAAAAGATTTAGAACCGAAATACTCAAGAGCCTCTAATCCACCGATCCTCACGAAATCCACACATATAATCCTTCTATAACCTATATATACTAATTTCTGCGTATTTTAAATTTATTTGCAATTTTTCTACTCGGATTTTTACGAGCTTCTTTAATGACATTTCGCTAAATTCGGCATTTTGGATGGAGAGAAGAACCTTATGGCTCAGAGGGGGTTGGCAGCTGTCTAGCTTGTTACGTGCCTCATTAAGAATTTTTGGTTTTTAATTGACAAAACAACGAAAGCCAAAGCAAAAATAAGATACTAAAATTCGAATTTGATTTCGTTTATTATAAATTTCCAATGCTTTCTGACGGCTCATTAAATTTTGACTTTTCGCCACAATAAATATGCCAGGGTCAGCAGAAAACAAAAATATGTGTATCCAAAACGATCAGAAAATGTATTTATGTGAAGAATTTCCGGGGGAAGAATTAAGTTTTTGGTATAGATAATTTTTTCATTTTATAAAATGTATATTTAAATTTAATTTCTCTACTAACAGAACCTAAATTTCATTTCATATTTTGTTAATTTGTAAACATCTCTTGAGCCTTATTTAGTGAAAAAACTTTAGACTTCTAATGTTATGTAAAATATTCTTTACAATTAAATTTTGCCACATATTTTTAGGCTGAAGCTGATAAACAAAACAAAAAAAAAAAAAAAAAAAAACAATATAAAAAAAAAACAGTCGGGATTGTTATACCCAAGCAAAAATATGTTGCATATTTTAGCAAATTTTCCTATTCTAACTTTGGAATATATTTCCTACACTCTATATTTCGAGTTATTAAGAATTTCCTTAAAATATAATATTTTTAAGAATCTTTCCTTTGACAACCCCTAAAAACTGTAGATTAATTTGCAATATTTTTACACCTGATTTAGGATATTTTTGAATTAAGAAATAAATTAGTAACCATAAACACAATAAAAATAAGATTCTCATAAATACCTATATAAATACTTAAGTAAATAATTTTTATAAATGAAACATGTGTTTAAATTTAACTAAATTATTGTGTAATTGTGAAAAACAAAATGATAGTTCTTATTCTTAAATGGCTGCTTTAAATTTTAACCTATATATATTATTAACTTTACCAATTTGTACATAAGGAAAAATAAAAAACAAAAACCCATATTTTTATATACCTAAAAAATGGCCAAGGAAATTTGAACATCTCGGCAACCTTCGCTTTAATACCAATACGTATCCTCTTGTTTTCCAATTCTTCGTTTTTTCCCATTCTGATCGTCGGCTGCCAATTTAATTTAATTTATTTGTTGCTCACTTTTATTTATTTGTCCATTCGCTGCGACTTGTTCAAATCATTTTGTTGCCATCTCTTCGCTTATTTATTAACACCATTCCGCCAAGTGGATGGCACCGATCTCTCCCTGATTCTCACTCTCCCTCTCTATATCTTCAATTTTTTATTTAATATTTGCTAAATAAAAAAATAATAATAATCAAAGAACTGTTTATGCAACAGCCTGATAAGCTTTTATTACAATTTCTTGTAAATAGAAGCAACAGGGTCAAGTGCTGCGAAAGTGTTTTATTGTTTATAGTGTTTATACATTGATTTTAACGCCTTTTTTCTATTTTATAAGTTATTTAATTATTGTTTTCTAAAACTTTGCTTTAATTATTTATTATTATTTGGCAAAAGGAAGCAACAGGGTTTTGCCGCTTGCATTTTTAAATTTTCGGAAACAACTGGCTTTCCACAATTAATTTTTGTTTTAACAAATTTATTTTTGGGGTCGAAGCAACAGGCTCTTCTCAATATTAATAATTTATTTTAATTTAATTTCTCGGCTGTGCGAGCTTATGTTTTATTTTAATTAGTTTTTCCTTTTTTTTTTGCGCAATTTTGTTACCTATTTTCTGTTAATTGTTTTGTGGATTTTGCTTTGCTTTTCGTTTTTATTTTTATTTTTTTAATTTTTAACACTTTCAAAAAAAAGGAATAATAACAAATTCCACGCGGCTGTTTTTTTATATATGCGAGCAAGATGGCGCGTTGCCGCGTGTTTACCGTTAGACCGCTGTTAGTACCGTTATGCCGTTCGTTATTGTGCTGCCGCGCGATTTTACACAACGATTCGTCCTGTTCGACGACATGCGTGCAAATAACGGTACAAACGCCGACGTACACCGACACCGACAGCGACAACGCTGCTATGCCCCATGGTACAGTACGAATAAGAAAAGTCTCGTCGGCTGCCAAATCGTTCGGGTTTAAGTTCGTTAACGTTCAGGGTGTTTGTACACTAACAGAAAAATGCTTAGCCCTAACATTAGAATTTAAATTAAATTAAAAAAAATTGATATTAATTTTAATTTAATTTTAAATTCAATTTAAGTCTAACTTAATTTTGGCAAAAACAAAAAAAAAAAAATCAATTTTGATAAGTTTTAACCACGTACCTTTCACGGGTTAATCAACACACCCTGCTGCCGTTGCACTCGAACTTAGTACGCTTTCAGTTAACCGAACACTTTTTGGCGACGAGACCACCGTATGCTTTTCAAACCACGAATGTGCCGGCGCCGACGTCGCTGCCGCTGCTGCCGCCTCTTTTCCTTTTCCGCTCACTCTCTTCACTCTCTTTTCACTCGGTTGTGTTTGGCCCCCCTCCAGCTGTGATAAGTGGGGGAGTGCAAAAGACAATTGAGTTTCGGCTCAAAACATAAGTTGGAATTTTATTGAGTGAGTTGTTTACCGTTTGCAGACTTCACTGAGCCGTCGTGGCGGTGCTCTTCTGAGTGCTTGTCTCCTCGAAGAATAGCTCCAGCAAGTTCGGCTTCCGCAGCTGATCGCCATCCAGTCGCTCCACGCCCTTCCAATGGAGCAAGGCTGGAATACCATCCACGGAATATGGCGGACTGCGGAAGCTGTTCTCCTTGTCCATCCAAAACTCACGATTGCCAACATCCACCACTAGGATGAGGCTATCCGCGGGCGCATTGTTGCGAAAGGCGGCCATGATGGTCTCCTCGGCTAAGCAGAATAAACGAAATAATCTTATTTGCATTATGTGTCAATGGGACAGGCACTGCCTGACTGTACTGTACCACTACCTGTAGCCTACAAAACATAACGGCACTTTGTCACCTACCCTCCACACAGTCGATACACCAGCTGCGTCCATGCTTGTCCTTCTCGCCGTAGAAGTAGATGTAGATGGGCACCCTTTTCTTGTCGTGTATCTTCAGGAGATTCTCCATCTCCTTGAATCCCTTTGCCGGCACGTATTCGGGCATTTTTTCACTTTGCGCGCTTTTACAGTTATTGTTGGGGAGCACCAGTCGGGCCTCGTTGCCACCAGAAGTTGGAATGCTCCAGCGCCGGTTTTATATTGATAATTGGAACGAGCTGCTTATCTGGATCTTATCGGCGTGTTTATGGGGTTCTTAGCCGCTACTTATCAGCCATCAGGGACTGGAGTTTGTCGGCGATCAAATTATTTTCACTTGTTTTTGCGGCAATTTGCAATGAACTGTGGGGAAGGTAAACAAAAACCACACCACGGCACACAGCGCTGTGCTGTTAAGCGCACTGTTGTGAGGAAGCGCAACAGGCCGCTGTCTGTTAACTGTTGAGTATAATTTCAAAAATAGTATTTTCACATCAAACGAAAAACCATACATTTTGAGGTCAGAGTCAAAAAGCATGGATTGCTTCTTGGCTTGACATGTAAAAGAAATGTTTATATATTAAAAAAACTAAGTTTTAGGTTTTTATTCACTGAATATATCCGAATATAAAATTGGGCAACTGAGGTCTTAACATTTCCTTAACAGCACTCTGAGCTTTCCATTATGTTAACTTCCGTTAACATATACCAACCTGCCACCGATAACCGATAACTTGGCAAGCAAAAATACCGAAAATCAGCTGTGTTCACATATCTCACCACAGACGCCGTGAAACAAACAACGAAAAACAATGTCCGCATCCAGCAAGGTAAGTAAAAACATTAATAAAACAAAATTAGCTAAATAAAACTGATGCTTCTTTATTCAGGTACACAAAGGCGGAGCATGTTACCAATTTGCTTCAGTTTTTAAAGCAGCAGTCGAACCTCTACGGCCAGAAAAACATTTTCTACCTCGGCAAAAAAGCGCGGGACAAATTAACACCACTGCCTGCCAGGTTGCACAATTTAATGGTGGAGGGAGGACAAGTAACCAACTGTTGCTGAACCGGCGTATAGCCTCGGAAGCGGGTCCCGCCAAGCATATAGAGTTTCCCTCTTGGTAAACGCACACGGAGTTCGTGAGGACGCATCACAGGGCAGCTCCTCAGCGCAATGACGATGAGTCAACCGGCCGAGCGTCGACGTTGGGGCCGGTAAAAAATTAAAGTAAACTATGGCCTTAAGCTCAATACTGAGAGGCCAGGAAAGTATTTATTAGTTTAAATATTAATATATTCCCTTGCAGTAACTATCCCATATCGAAGACAGTTCCGTCGACCATGAAGTATCCTTACCTATCCTCCGCATCGGCGTATGTGAGCGCTGAGGTCAAAGGAGGAGAATTCGTCCTATAACGCCATATTGCATATTGCCTTCGTTGAATTTTTAAAAACAGAACTGGAATCTTTCGAGGACCTCGGCCAACGCAAGGAGCTGCGGAGTAGATTAATGCAGGTAATAATTGAGAACTCAGGAAGGAAAGATTAGTAGTTGATTATCCAATTGTCTCAACCAACTCTTTGGTAAAATTGTAATACATTTATGTACATGAGTTTTTTTAATGAGAATTGTAAGAGAAAATTGCTTTTAAAATTTAAACAGAAACAAGAAAGGAAGCCAGCTTCGGCACGCCGAAGGTTGTATACCCTTGAAGATTGAAATTCAATCACTAATAGTTAATACAATATAAATTCAGCTATACATTTTATATTTAAAGTTTTACATTCATCATACATTTTCCTCTATTTTTAACGATCGTTTGTATAGCAGCTATATGATATAGTCGTCCGATTTTCATACACACAAAATTCCAGATTAATTTATAATGGCTATATATCAAATTTGATCAAAATCTGTTGAAAACTGGAAAAGTTATAATTTTTTTTTTTAATTTTTCGATCGTTCCTATGGCAGATATATATGTATATATATAGTCCACCGGTTCTCCATGCTCCGACTTTATACTAGTAAAATTATATAGAAGAATAACTCTCTAGTTTTATTCCTTGCTCATAAATTTGTTCAAAAACATATCTCGCACATGTGTACTTATGATTCTCAACTAGTTCTAACATGCCCGGAACGAAGTGACTGCTGCCAGCCAGGTCTCAGATATATGTTGTTACAAAAATTGCAAGTCATTGTTTATTAGTGTTCAAAGTGATTATACTGATTATACATACTTCCGGTCATAGATACTTAGTGATCATAGTTACTTACTGGCCATAGATACTTACTATTCAGAGTTACTTACTGCTCATAGTTTATTATTTATAAATCTTATTATTACTAATCATAGTTATTTACGGATCATAGTTACTAAATGTTCATTGATACTTACTGGTCAGAGTTAATTAATGTTAATTGATATTTACTAATCATTGTTATTCCCAACTGGTTCTAACTTCCCCGGAATGAAGTGACTTCTGCCAGCCACGTCTCAGAAATGTGTTCTGTTACAAAGTTGCAAGGCATTGTTTATTAGTGTTTAAAGTTAGTGACTGATTATACATACTTACTGGTCATAGATACTTACTGTATATAGTTACTTAATGTTCATAGATACTTACTGATCATAGTTAATTAATGATCATAGTTACTTACTGTTGAAAGATACTGATTTGTACACGTACGAAACCTGCCTTAATTTTCTTGTTAAATGAATGAATTTGCAGTCTTTGAGAATTTCTGCTTAATCAGAGATAACCATGACCCATTTTTGTCGGTTCTCACAACTTGAACTTCATTGAGGGTCGCCTCAGAACCCAAAGAACTTGAAGAAGAAATTGTAAAGAAACAGAAAGAACTTGAAAAACTGCAAGACAAGTGAAAATTTATTTATAAAATGCTTGATCCAAACAGCAAAAGTAATTAGTATATCTGAGAGAACAACATGGGTAAGATCATAAAGAAGCACCAGGAAGTTTTGAGGATTAATTTCAGAGATTAAATATTATTATAAAAAATTCAAACTTAATACAATTTATGCATTGTTCTCCATAATTTCAGCTGCCTTTAGGAACTCCTTACTGCTCCTTGTGCTCCTGTTGGCCCTACATTTGGAGCAGGCCTCGAAAATCGCCTACAAAAAGCCACTTTATGGCAAGACGAACTATATAAAGGAGAAGAAATTAAGGAGTAAGGGACTCAAGGTGGAGACCACCACCGCTTCGACAACCACCACCACCACGACCACCGGCAGCACCACCGAAGAGGACTGGCCATCGGCCGTTGAATTTGTAATTGTGGCAACAACACCCAGAAACGAGTTGGAAGCCAGTGAGGAGCCACTTAATAATAGTACCAGTAGCACCATTGAAACGGCCACAGCTATGCCGGTGGAGACATCATCGACTAGACCAGGAGATGTTTCCTCCAAAACAGTGGAATCATTTAATCAGACCACAATGCCGATGAGCACAACGACGTCCAGTACATTGATTAATACGCTTCCTTCGCCACCGATGCCAGGAGCTGCAGGAGAGGTGGTTTCTTCACCACCCATTCCCGATAATCAGCCAGTGCCCTGCACCTGTGGGGTTTTCCTCTCTTCGCAAATTCCAAATGGTTTGCCCACGGCTCCATTAATTAACCAGGAGCTGGATCGAATGTTCCCCTGCAATGCCATTGGTCGCAAACAGTGCCAAACCAAGTGTCTGGAAGCGGTGAGTACTACGATTATTTCAATAACCATAAAATATTGATCATCTATTGAAAAAATTCATTAACTTGGCATTCATTTTATTATTTTTTTAAACAATTTTAACGCCTCTTCAAGTTATAAGATTGTTGGAATTCATTTAAATTCGATATGCATAGAGTTTCGATATCATTTGCTGATCGAAAGAATCGATATATATATATATATTTTTTTTGTGACCCATAATTTATAAATTATTTACAGATCGTTCAGCACCTGCCCAATTCCGCTAATATTGTATGCTCCGCTTTGGGCCATGATTGCCACAAGGAGCGTGCCTACTTGTTCATCAAGAACTGTCACAACCAATGGGTTAATACCAATTTGCAGGCGGGCAGGGAATATTGCTGTCGCGGTGGTGTTCCCTACCGCTGTCCATTAATGGGTTAATCCGTTTCAGAATCAATAAATTGTATAACAAAATTGAGTGCTTTAAATTTAAATTCAAAAGGGCTCAGGGAACTATATTAAAGTTCTTTTTAATTTAAAAATTATTAGCCAAGCTTGCAACCAAAAGTGAAGCAAAATTATATTTTATGGTTTTGTTCTAGGACAAAATTATTGAATCGATATTTTTCGATCATTTTTAAAATAATTAATACAACAAAATCAACAGTTACTGTATAATTATGTATATATTTTAGATAATTTTTTAAAATATGTTTTCTTTATAAAAATATCGATATTTAGACATACTTCTTCCATCCCTAAAACCAAGGCGGTGAATTCGATTATTTTCCGCCACACGTCCATCCGTCAGCCAATTGAAGTAAATTTACAAGTAAACCAGCTTTTTTTTCGAAGCAGCAAGGCGAGTGTGTGTGTGTACTACATTCGCCGCTTGATTGTGTTATCAATCGGAAGCTAAAAAAACAAAAGCCGCGTTTAAAAAACTAAAACGTGCTTCGCTCACAACTACCAGTGCAAGTGCAGCAGGCTGAGCTAAAATAAAAACCTAAACTTTGCAAGGAATTTTCGGGTGCGTGTGAAAGAGATACAGATATAAAAGCTTAGGGATATTTTAAATATATATATTTAATTTTGCTATTCCCAAGGAACTTTAATTTTTATCCGAAATTGCGCGTTTGTTATTGTTATTGTGTGTGTCTCAAAAATAAAAAAAACCGGTTCCAAGTTCACTCTGAACTTTATACACGTGCTTATGCACGCATACATCTGTATGCTAGGTACTCCTCACATACAAGAAAGCCGAGAACCAGACCGAATCGAGTGACAGAGACTCCTCTAGTCTGTCTATCCCCCTTTATCTGCGTAAACAAACCATCAATAGCAGTAACAGAAAATTAAACCACTTGATAAGCGCCGTTGTCAACCATTCCCAATCAGTTTTCCATTGCGCTCTCCTCCTGTTCGACTTGTTGATGTTGTTCTTGCCGGGCAACATGTTGCCAGACGGCCGCCGATAAAGCTTAAGGGGGAGCGGGATGGAGATAAAGAATGTGCCGGCTAGCGGGCTTTGCTCTCAGCTTGGGGTCTCGTTTTGTATAGGTGAGAGTTGAAAAATAGAGAAAGAGAGAAGAAGAGAGAGGGAGAAGATACAAAACACATGTTGCTTTTGTGGCATTTATTTATTTATATTTATACCCCTTAAGGGTATTATAATATTAGTCAAAAGCTTTTATATAATATTCTTAAGCCGAGTCTAACTAGCCATCTCATGCAGAGTTGCTCTAAAAATTTGTATAGATTTTTAAATCATTCGCAAATGTTATTTATAGGTTTTTAAGGATATTTTTATAGCCTTACAGGGTATTATATTTCTACTTAGAAGCTTGTTACACTGTGAAGGAGTCATTTCCGACCCTATAAATCATATATATTCTTGATCAGCATCATCAACCGAGTCGATCTGGCTATCTTCCGCAGAAAAAAAAATGTTTCAAAATTTTTTCAAAATTCTATAAGGGGTTTCATCATTAAAATTATCAATAAATTATCAATAAAATTATCGCAAAAATTTTAGTTTTTTTAAATGTTAAATTAAATATGCAGATTTATTAACATGATAAAAACTAACATAGGACAGCTTTCCGAATGAAAATTAATGCTTTTTTGGCTGAGTTATGAGTTTTTTAAACTTTTGATTTATCGAAAAAATTGTCATATAAAAATATCGAAAAATAACGATTTAATTAGGTTCGATTTCCCATTAGATAAATAAAACTGAACTGCAAACTGCAAAAGAATTTATTTTTGGAGAATACATTTCATAAATTGATAATTAATGTTTATCAATTTTAGAGCTGGTATCCCAAAATAAGCTCTATTATTTCTTTTAACTTTTAAATATAAAATATGTATATAAGCCATAGACATTTATTTGAAATTTTGAAATCAAGTTTAGAGATTTTTAAAATTGATTTAACGTGAATATTAATATTAATATTAGAAGACCTACAAAATAGGATAATTATCAAGTAACAAATTGTATTCTTAATATTTATTTCTGTATCAAAAGACTCATTTGAAAATATCAAGAAAATCCTAGCCCCTATCTAACTATCTTTAACTGCGTTGTATGAGCAATCATTCATTAAATATTTAGTTAAATGCAACTTGATTTCTCATTCTGAAGTCCCGTCGCAGATAGGATGACACCTTAGAACAAATATCAATTGGCACAAATATTTACCTACTCCAATTACACTTCTCCCTAATGCCAAAATGCAAGGCTTCTCGATTGCCAAAGGCTATAACTCATTAATTAAAGACACTTCTCGAGTGGTCGTGGAATGTCGTTATCAGCAAAATTGACATTATGTGTAGCCTTCGCAGAATATGATCCCACTTGTCTGATAACAATCAATACTCCCATTGCTCTCCATCTAATTGTGCTTCTCTTTCTTTTCCCCCAGAATGACGTCCCCAAAGTGTTACCTGGTGCTGGAGGATGGCACTGTCATGCCCGGCACTCCCTTTGGCCACATTCCCCCGGCCACTGAGGGCGGCATTGGTGGCGAGGTGGTCTTCCAAACCGGCATGGTCGGTTACACCGAAGCCCTCACGGATCGCTCGTATAGTGGTCAAATCTTGGTATTGACTTATCCCCTAATTGGAAACTATGGTGTACCATCGCCGGAGGATCAGGATGAGCACGGTCTGCCCCGGCACTTTGAGTGGCTGGAGGGTGTAGTCCAAGCCAGCGCTCTAGTGGTGGGCGAAGTGGCCGACAAGGCTTGGCATTGGCGCGCCTGGAAGACGCTACCCAAGTGGTTAGAGCAGCACCAAGTGCCCGGCATCAGTGGCATCGATACGAGGGCCCTCACCAAGAAGCTGCGTGAACAGGGCAGCCTGCTGGGCAGGATCGTATACGGAGAGCAGCCATCAGGTGGACTGCCCAAGTCAAGTTTTGTGGATCCCAATACCAGGAATTTGGCCAAAGAATGCAGTGTGGCAAAGCGTCGTGAGTTTGGTGATCCCCAAGGCAAGGGACCACGCATTGCTATTATGGATTGCGGCCTGAAGCTTAACCAGTTGCGTTGCCTTCTGGATCGTGGAGCCTCGGTAGTGTTGCTACCTTGGAATGCCCGTCTTCAGGATGAGCAGTTTGATGCTCTCTTTCTGTCCAATGGACCCGGTAATCCCGAAAGCTGCGATGAGATTGTGCAACAGGTGAGGGAATCTCTTATGACTTAGTTTCTCAATCTAATATCCAATTCGTTCTTTCCCCAACAGCTTCGTCAAGTGCTTGAGAGTGGCAGCAACAAGCCTGTCTTTGGCATTTGCCTGGGCCACCAGCTGTTGGCCAAAGCCATTGGCTGCTCCACCTACAAGATGAAGTACGGTAATAGAGGCCATAATTTGCCCTGTCTTCACCGTGCCACCGGACGCTGCCTAATGACCTCTCAGAATCATGGATATGCTGTGGATCTGGAGCAATTGCCCGACGGCTGGTCGGAGCTGTTTGTGAATGCCAATGATGGCACCAACGAGGGTATTGTTCATGCCACCAAGCCTTACTTTTCGGTTCAATTCCATCCGGAGCATCATGCTGGCCCCCAGGATACTGAGTTCCTGTTCGATGTGTTCCTAGAGAGCATACAGCGACGAGATGTAACCATACCGCAGCTGATTGAGCAGCGATTGAAGCCAACTGGCCCGCCAGCAGATTTAACGCAGTCAGCGAAGCCACGCAAGGTGCTTATTCTGGGCTCCGGTGGGTTATCCATCGGCCAGGCCGGAGAATTTGATTATTCCGGTTCGCAGGCCATTAAGGCCATGCGGGAGTCCAATATCCAAACGGTGCTAATTAATCCGAATATAGCCACAGTTCAGACCTCAAAGGGCATGGCCGATAAATGCTATTTCCTGCCCCTGACACCGCACTATGTGGAGCAGGTTATCAAGTCGGAGCGCCCGAACGGTGTCCTTCTCACCTTTGGCGGCCAAACGGCGCTCAATTGTGGCGTGGAACTGGAACGGGCTGGCGTCTTCTCCAAGTACAATGTACGCATTTTGGGCACACCTATACAATCCATCATTGAGACGGAGGATCGTAAGCTATTTGCGGATCGTGTGAATGAGATTGGCGAGCAAGTGGCACCCTCGGAGGCAGTATACTCGGTGACCGAAGCCCTGGAGGCAGCCCAACGTTTGGGTTATCCCGTGATGGCCAGGGCCGCCTTCTCCCTGGGCGGCTTGGGCTCGGGCTTTGCCAACAACGAACAGGAACTGCAGAGCTTGGCCCATCAGGCTCTGGCCCATTCAAGCCAACTGATTGTGGATAAATCCCTCAAGGGCTGGAAGGAGGTGGAGTACGAGGTAGTCCGCGACGCCTACGACAATTGCATCACTGTCTGTAACATGGAGAACTTCGATCCGCTGGGCATACACACCGGCGAGAGCATAGTGGTTGCACCATCGCAAACCCTCTCGGACCGCGAGTACCAAATGCTTCGGAGCACCGCCCTCAAGGTGATTCGTCATTTCGGCGTCGTCGGTGAGTGCAACATACAGTATGCTTTGTGCCCGCACTCGGAGCAGTACTACATCATCGAGGTGAATGCCAGATTGTCGCGAAGTTCGGCTTTGGCCAGCAAGGCCACCGGTTATCCGCTGGCCTATGTGGCCGCCAAGCTGGCCTTGGGTCTGCCGCTGCCCGAGATTAAGAACTCAGTGACGGGCAATACGACGGCCTGCTTTGAGCCATCGCTGGATTATTGTGTGGTCAAGATACCACGCTGGGATCTGGCCAAATTTGTGCGTGTGAGCAAGCACATTGGCAGCTCCATGAAGAGCGTCGGTGAGGTGATGGCCATTGGTCGGAGCTTCGAGGAGGCCTTCCAGAAGGCTCTGCGCATGGTGGACAGCGATGTGCTGGGCTTTGACCCTGATGTGGTTACCCTGGACAAGGAGCAGCTGAACGAGCAACTATCGGAGCCAACTGATCGACGACCCTTTGTCCTTGCCGCCGCCCTGGATATAGGCATGGGCGTCGATGAACTGCATGCTCTAACAAAGATTGATTGCTGGTTCCTGGAAAAGCTGCAGAGAATCATGATGCTGCATTGGGACCTCACCAGGGCGGGCAGCCAGATGGGACCAGAGTTGCTACTACTGGCCAAACGTTCCGGTTTCTCGGACAAGCAGATAGCCAAGGCGACCAAGAGCACTGAGCTGGCAGTGCGCCATCAGCGTCAGGAGTTTGGAATCCGTCCGCATGTCAAGCAGATCGATACGGTGGCCGGTGAGTGGCCAGCGAGCACTAATTATCTGTATAATACGTACAATGGCAGTGAGCATGATGTAACCTTTCCCGGTGGCCACACCATTGTCGTTGGCTCGGGCGTCTATCGGATTGGTTCGTCCGTGGAGTTCGATTGGTGCGCCGTCGGCTGCCTGAGGGAATTGAGGAAACTGCAACGTCCCACAATTATGATCAACTACAATCCGGAGACAGTGTCCACCGACTATGATATGTGCGATCGCCTGTACTTTGAGGAGATTAGCTTCGAGGTGGTCATGGATATTTATGAGATGGAGTCTAGTGATGGCATCATTCTCTCCATGGGCGGACAGTTGCCAAATAATATTGCCATGGATTTGCATCGCCAGCAGGCCAAAGTTTTGGGCACATCACCGGAATCAATTGATTGTGCCGAGAATCGCTTCAAGTTCTCTCGGATGTTGGACCGCAAGGGCATCCTGCAGCCACGTTGGAAGGAGCTGACCAATCTGCAGTCTGCCATCGAGTTCTGTGAGGAGGTGGGCTATCCGTGTCTGGTCAGGCCATCGTATGTCCTCTCTGGTGCCGCCATGAATGTGGCCTATTCGAATCAGGATCTGGAGACCTATCTGAATGCTGCCTCTGAGGTGAGCCGTGAACATCCGGTGGTTATATCCAAGTTCCTAACGGAGGCCAAGGAGATCGATGTGGATGCAGTGGCCGCCGATGGACAGATCTTGTGCATGGCCGTTTCGGAGCATGTGGAGAATGCTGGTGTCCATTCGGGTGATGCCACGCTGGTGACACCGCCGCAGGATCTTAATGCTGAGACTTTGGAGGCCATTAAGAGGATCACTTGCGATCTGGCCAGTGTGTTGGATGTCACGGGTCCCTTTAATATGCAACTGATTGCCAAGAATAACGAACTGAAGGTCATCGAGTGTAATGTCCGTGTCTCCCGTTCATTTCCCTTTGTCTCCAAGACTCTGGATCATGACTTTGTGGCCACCGCCACGAGGGCCATTGTTGGACTCGATGTGGAGCCACTGGATGTGCTGCATGGTGTGGGCAAGGTGGGCGTAAAGGTGCCACAGTTTAGCTTCTCGCGTCTGGCCGGTGCTGATGTCCAACTGGGCGTGGAGATGGCCTCCACCGGGGAGGTGGCCTGCTTCGGGGATAACAGATACGAGGCCTATCTCAAGGCCATGATGTCCACCGGATTTCAGATACCCAAAAATGCTGTACTTTTGTCCATTGGCAGCTTTAAGGTGGGTTTTTCTATTAAATCTTATTGAATTTATCTTATTATTATTGTTTAAATTATTATTTTCCAGCACAAAATGGAACTGCTGCCTTCGATTAGGGATCTGGCCAAGATGGGCTATAAACTATATGCATCCATGGGCACGGGTGACTTTTATGCTGAGCATGGCGTTGATGTGAGTAAAGCTTTAGTTTTATTAGTTTATAAGTCTTTCAAGAAAGTTGGGAATACTATAAAAGATTTCAAATCATTTAAAATTCGGGTCAAAAGTATGTTTCATATTTCCATAAGGTTTTAATTCATTAATTCTCTGCTTTATCGCTGTAATTTATGTGCAATAATAAGATATTCTGTTTGATTTATCAATGCCATATGTAATGTAATGAAAGATTTATAAATTGGATAGTTTTTTTGTATACTTTGTGGTAATATTGATATGGATTTGGTATATTGAAGCAATCTAATCCGAAAGAAAGCATAATAATAAACTTTTGTTGCATATTTTGTGATAATATTGATATTTTAAAGTAAAATGCGATAATTTTCGATATTAAGCTATAGATATATCACTGCTTAAATATTTTCTATAAACTTTAAAGCCTTTTTAAATTAATTTTAAATCAAGAGATTGATCTCAACTTGATTCACTTTTACTTTTTGATTTAAAGTTCATTGAAGATTATATACACATATTAATTATTAACAATATACTGCAAAAGTAGGTATCTCTTTTCCTTATCTTTATTTAGCCTGTAATTACGTCTTTTTAGCTTAGTAATAAAAATATAATATAAGATTATGTAGGAATAGGTTGTATATGTACAATGACGCTAGTTAAAGGCATCCTTGATCTTCTGGGTTTTGCTTTTGAGGATCTCCTTAATTTCCTCCCGCATGGCCTCCGATGGGGCCACCTTCTGGACCAATTGCTCCGTCCGACTGCTGATCACTTCAAGCTTGTTGGGATCGAGATTGAGGCGTTGGATGAGGCCATTTAGAGAGAGCTTGGTACCTTCCTCCTTTGGAGTTGAACTCTCCACTTCCTCAACCTGTTGCTGGCCTTTGTCCTTGAGGTTTTCCACCTTCTTCTCCTCCCTTTCTCCTTGGTTTTCTATGACATCCACTTCCTCTGCATCCTTGTGTGAGGATTGACCCCTTAGGATTCCACTCAACTTAATGTTGGCTGGATGAGGATTCATGTGCCTGGCCAGAGGATCGGGAGAGTGTATCTGCACAACGTGATCCAGGAATTTGATGGACTTCCGGCGAGCCAAAGGCGGTGATTTTACCACCTCCTCAAAAGGGAATCCCTCAGAGCTAGGCAATGGTATCCTTGTGCTGCTGCTGCTGCTGACCATCATTTCCATGTTGCTGGCCGCCTGCTGCAGCTCCTGGATAAAGTGCTGAGCCTGCTGGGAGCAACCCAAATGCTGGTACAAGCGACACAGTCGCTGACCCTGCTCCAGATAGAGTTGGGCATGGCCACGATTACCGAAACGGATGGCACGGGCCAACATGGCCAGCAGATGATCCAGCAGAAGCTCGAGAAGATTGCTACGTCGCAGGATTTCCAGGCCATTGTTAAGCTGAGGTTTCGCTGGCATTTCCTGGCTAGAAATCTCCGAATTGGAGCGGGCCAGGAGGCGATGTAGATCCAAGGAGTCCAGCGAGGAACGCCGCTGATTAGCCTCCGAAAGCTGCCGCTGCAGTTGCCTCTGATTGGTGGCCCTCAGGAGTTGTGTCTTCCGGCGCAGCTTACCCCTCGAACGCTCCTGGTGCTGGGCCAGGCCCAGAAGACCACCAGCATCGGTTATGTCTGTATTTCGGCGTGAGATCTTAGGTCCAGGAACTCCAACATCCTGCTCCTGCTGCTGCTCCTCTTGCTGGACAGGAAAACCCTGACGTGGACGCGAGAATTTACCCCACGAATGCAGCTCTAGATAATCCTGACTACAGAGATTCCTCAACAGCCGCTTGTAGTCCAGCTGGGGATAAAAATCCTTCGCATGCTGGAGATTCCTCAAAGCCTGGACCACATGCAACAGCGGCTGCTCAGCAATGCCGGCCATCACAGTGCGTAGCTTCATCAGTGTATCCTCCGGGACATGCTCGAAGAGATTCCGCCGCTCGATGAAGTAATCGCTGAGATGCTTCCTCGCCAGACACACGTCAAACGAACGAATGAATCGCACCAATCGCTCGCCAAGGAACTCCTCGGGCCAATCGTTACTATACCGTTCGCATTGCCAAAAGAGATGGGCACGCAGTTGCTCCAGGAGTACACCTCCCGGCGGCTGGGCATCAGTGCTCTCCACGAATGTCTTCACAAGCAACTTCATCAATTGGAACACCTTCAGCTGCATGGGCGTCAGGCAATAGCGCTCCAGATACTGCTCTGCCTGGGGGAAGACAATGCGCCACTCTAGCTCCCGGAAGGGATTACGTGAACGCTTCGGGGCATAGCCCACGGGAACAACGTGGTAGCCAAAGGATCGTATGCGTTTCCTCATCTGCTCGGTGGGCCATTGGAATTGCTCAGCGGTGTGCAGATTGGTCAGTCTCGGTCTGGCCCTCAGACCAAACTCAAAGGCACAATCGGGCCAGGCATGGGGTACATGGATGGCGGGCACTAGCACCTCCTTGGCCATATAAACGCTGCAACCGCGATAGGAGCCTGCACTGAGCTGGGCAGCACTGATGCCCAGCTGGTGACCCAACTGCTGACGGAGCAGTTCACCGAAGTAAAGCATAAATTGCTGCGAACTGAGGTAGCATTGCTGCAGTTGCTCCGCCTGGCACTGACGTAGAACCTGGACAGTCTCATAGCCAGCGGGAGGATAGTTATGATCCCTGTGCTGCTGCTCCTCATCATCCTCATTATCATCCAGCTCATCGCAAGAGGAAGAATCCTCATCATCGGTCTGCTCCAGTTCCGGTGGCAAACAGCTGGCCAAACGACGGATGCAGCTCTCTGGCAACACATTGCTCTCCAGATTGTATTTCCTATTCAAACGCAGTTCCTCTAAAGGTCGTGGTGTATTCAACCTGGCCAGATACACGTGATCATAGTCACCCGAGCTGTAGCCAGAGGATGAAGAGGAGGAAGTGCTGGAGGTGCACTCTTCATCGCTGCTAATGGGAGGAATGGGTGAACCAGGATTGCTGTTGCTGCTGCTCATTGCCGGTGAAAGAATCGATCGATCGCGTAGCTTGAGACGCACATAACCCATCCAACGGGTTTGCTCCATTAACTCCACCAGCTCAGAACTGCAGGGTGTCCTGCTGTAATAGTCCGTCTCCAGAAGGACCTTGCACAACGTGGCCACTGTGTCATAGTTGGCATCATGAGGACGAGCCACATCCACATTCTCAAAGACCACATATGTGACTGGCTTTTGCAGCGGCTGCGATGGTTGCTTCGAGGAGCTGTAGCCGGAAGAGGAAGTGTATCAATTCAAGGATTACCATCTAGGATTCAGGCTACACTCACTTGGTTTTGAATAACAAATTCCTGGCCACAGCCGCATCAATGGCCCCGCTTTGCAGCAAACTATGCTCGGCACTCTGCCGCCTGGCCAATAGCTCCGCATCCACCAGGCTCATTTCCGCCTCAAAGTGTGAAAAGAACTGAACACCCAACAGGAGTTGATTCAGTAGGAATGTGTGCAACTCCCGATCCAATTGTTCCAACATCCGTCGCTCCACTGTCCTCTGGAACTCCTCACGCTGCTGCTCCAATGTCCTGGCATACAGAGCACTCACACATTCGGTGGCACTGCTGCCATTGCTGCCGCCCAGGAGACGCAGTTGCAGGGCAAGATCCGGATGGGATTTACCGCTGAGACGTTGACGTCTCTGAAGGGAACCACCACCATCGTTGGTCGATCCTCGCTTCCTACGATGCTTGCGTCGAGCATTACGTTTCTGCAACTTTTGGATTTGCCGCTGATGCTTCTCATCCTGCCGGCGACGCCACTGCAGACGCTGGACGGGAATGGCCGCCTGCAGGGCATTCGGTGTACTGGCAGTGTCAACGCTGTGCTCCGCTTTCGACCAGGAGCAGCCCATGATTGATTCACAACTGATACGCGCTGCTCTCTTGTCTTGCCTGATAAAAAACCAAAAAAAGCAAAAAAGAAACCAAACGAAACCGATAAGATCGCTGTCTTTGGTGATCACGAATCGCGATCAGCGATCAAATAATGACTTTTGCAATCTCCGCCTGATAACGTCTCTTCCTTTTCACTGCTCCGCTTCCGGCTCCGGCGCCGTGTTCGGCCCTGCTCTCCTCCAGCCTGCTTCTGATTCGTCTCTTGGCTTTGGCCATTGAGTCTCCACTTTAGTCCCGAGTTCCTGGTACTCTGAGGTATCAAAAACGGAATTGATTTCCACTTTACAGTGGAAAATAATTATTGGAAAATTATAAATTCAATAACTTATATATAGTTAGTTAATAAATTATAAAATAATAAGATGCGAACATTTTTAAAAAGGTTTCTAGTGCAGCTGTTTCTTTATATGATTTCCAAATAAAATTGGTCAAAATATAGATATATTAATATAATATAATAATACTGCTTTAATTTTTCACTCAAAAATCAATATATAATTCGAGAATTACATATTTTTACTTGAGAAAAGAGAATATTTTATATTCCATTTTATATATAGGAGCAATATTTTCAAAAAACAAGAAAGATATCTTTCGGAAAGCCTAAGTTTGAATTTTAAAATTGGAACAGAATATTGGTATATAAAATTAATCATAATTCTGCGAAAAATGCATTAATTTAAATTCGGAAAGCTGTCCTATGTTAGTTTTCATTAGGTTAATAAATCTGCATACTCAATTTAAAATGTACAAAAATTAAAATTTTTTCAATTTTTTTTTTTCAAATTTTAATGATGTAACCCCTAAAATTTGGAGAAAAAAATTATACAATTTTTCTTTCTCTAAATTATACCTAGATCGACTCCCCTGTTGATGCTGATCAAGAATATATATGATTTATAGGGTCGGAAATGATTCCTTCACTTAGTTTCAAGCTTCTGACTTAGTTAATAACACTTTCCTAACTAAGAACCACTGTGTTCCATTATTGTTACAACCTGTCTTTCTTATTTTCCTATTGTTTATTGCCTGTCGAACAATAGACATGAAAAATCAATCCATAAATAGCTTTCGATATCTTTATTATATGTTCTAAGCAAACAATTGATTCAAGTTGAAGATGACGATTACAGGTTGTCCTTGACGTTGCCTTTCTATATGTTCATATCATGTGTATATATTTATTTATTGGTATATCCCCACTTTATATTTTATTTTGTGCATTTTTCCAGGTGGAATCCGTTCAGTGGACATTTGACAAGACCACACCCGATGACATCAATGGTGAACTTCGTCATTTGGCCGAGATTTTGGCCAACAAACAATTCGATATGGTCATCAACCTGCCAATGAGCGGCGGAGGAGCCAGGCGGTATGTAGTGGTGGCCAATGATTGCTACTTGCCTATAAAGTATATTATATATTTCATAGCCAAAGTTATACGATAAGTAAAATAACGCTAAAGATATAATAAAACAATATTTAGAAGAGGTTACCTTAAGACTAATTGATTAATTGATTAATAACCAATCATTATCATCAAATCCTTTACCTAAATCTAGCAATAATTACAACTAAATATATATCACATATATTCTCCCACAGAGTCTCTTCCTTCATGACACATGGCTATCGCACTCGCCGCCTGGCCGTGGACTACTCCATTCCGTTGGTTACCGATGTCAAGTGCACCAAGTTATTGGTGGAATCAATGCGAATGACTGGTGGCAAGCCGGCTATGAAGACACACACGGATTGCATGACCTCGCGACGAATTGTCAAGCTGCCCGGTTTTATTGATGTCCATGTCCATCTCCGAGAGCCAGGGGCCACGCACAAAGAGGATTTCTCCAGCGGCACAGCGGCAGCATTGGCCGGTGGTGTGACCCTCGTATGCGCCATGCCCAACACTAATCCCTCGATTGTGGATCGGGAGACATTCACGCAGTTCCAGGAGCTGGCCAAGGCAGGAGCCCGTTGCGATTATGCTCTGTATGTGGGTGCAACAGATGGAAATTGGGGACAAGTGCCAGAGCTGGCCGGCCAGGCATGTGGCCTAAAGATGTATCTGAATGATACCTTTGGCACCTTGAAGCTAAGCGACATGAATGCCTGGCAGCGACACTTGACTCACTGGCCAAAACGAGCGCCGATCGTTTGTCATGCCGAGAAGCAAAGCACAGCGGCTGTAATCCTAATGGCCCACCTGCTGGACCGACCCGTGCACATCTGTCATGTGGCCAGACGGGAGGAGATTCAGTTGATACGCGCCGCCAAGGAAAAGGGCATCCGTGTGACATGCGAAGTGTGCCCACACCATCTGTTCCTGAGCACCAAGGATGTGGAGCGGTTGGGCGAGGGTATGTCGGAGGTGAGACCCTTGCTCTGCTCACCAGATGACCAGGAGGCACTGTGGGAGCACATGGACTACATTGATGTATTCGCCACCGATCATGCACCGCACACGCTGGCCGAGAAGCGTTCGGAGCGACCGCCGCCTGGCTTCCCCGGTGTGGAGACCATACTGCCTCTCCTCCTGCAGGCCGTCCACGAGGGACGTCTCACATTGGAGGATATCAAACGGAAGTTCCATCGCAATCCCAGGAATATATTCAACCTGCCCGATCAACCGCACACCTATGTTGAGGTCGATTTGGACGAGGAGTGGACCATCACGGGGGCCGAAATGAAGAGCAAGTCGGGTTGGACGCCATTTGAGGGCACCAAGGTCAAGGGACGCGTTCATCGTGTCATTCTGCGCGGCGAGGTGGCCTATATCGATGGCCAGGTGCTGGTCCAACCCGGCTATGGCCAGAATGTGCGCCAACCTAAGCTTGGACTACTGCTGGCTGAGGGTGCTGCCTCTCAGGATCAATTATTGCCCAGCGACAGCGATGCCAACGAGACCTTTGCCCATCTCCTGACCAATGAGGGGACTCATACTGCTGCCGGTGGTGCTGCTGGTGCCAAGGTGCACTTTGTAGACGAGGCCAATAGCTCGAGCTTCCTGCGTCCAGTTTCACCGTCGCCACGCATGCGACTGGACTCCACCAGTAATACCACTCTCCGGGAGTACGTGCAGCGCACAGTGCAGCCAGCGCATGGCTCCTCCAGTCCCAATCCCGTGGCCCATTCCCTGGTGGGCAAGCACATCCTGGCCGTGGACATGTTCAACAAAGAGCATCTGAACGAAATCTTCAATTTGGCCCAACTGCTCAAGTCGCGAGTGACCAAGGACCGCTCCGTTGATGAACTGCTGCGCGGCAAGATTATGGCCAGTGTGTTCTATGAGGTGAGCACACGGACGCAGTGCAGCTTTGCCGCTGCCATGCTGAGACTGGGCGGCCGTGTAATCAGCATGGACCAGATCACATCGTCGGTGAAGAAGGGCGAAACGCTGGAGGATAGCATCAAGGTGATGGCCAGCTATTCGGATGTCATGGTGCTGCGCCATCCCACTCCAGGTGCTGTGGCGGTGAGTAGGGGGAATTCTTACTTACCGTAGCTACGAAGCTTTAATTTTATTATATTCCCTTCCATAGCGCGCTGCCTCGTTCTCCCGAAAGCCCTTGATCAACGCTGGCGACGGCGTCGGTGAGCATCCCACTCAGGCACTTCTGGACATCTTCACCATTCGCGAGGAAATTGGTACTGTAAACGGTTTGACCATCACCATGGTGGGTGACCTGAAGAATGGACGCACTGTGCACTCGCTGGCCCGCCTCTTGACGCTCTATAACGTGACCCTGCAGTATGTGGCCCCGGAAAGCCTGCAAATGCCTCGCGACATTACCGATTTTGTGCATCAGCGAGGCGTCAAGCAGTACTTTGCCTACGGGCTAAAGGATGTCCTCCCAACCACGGATGTTCTGTATATGACGCGTATACAGCGGGAACGATTCGAGAGCGAGGAGGAGTACCAGAGCGTAAGTTATGACATAGAGTGCCTTGTAATTATTCATTTATTTAAATATTTATTTATATTTTCATACAGTGCTGCGGTAAGTTGATTGTAACGCCCAAGCTTATGACGTTGGCCAAGAAGCGTTCGATTGTGCTGCATCCCCTGCCGCGCCTGGACGAGATTAGTCGCGACTTTGACTCTGATCCGAGGGCTGCCTACTTCCGGCAGGCGGAATACGGCATGTATATACGCATGGCCCTGCTGGCCATGGTAGTGGGAAGCCGAAATACAGCTCTCTAAAAGGACAACAGACAATCTCCCAATGACTCTTTACGCTCTTTATTTTTTGTATTCACCTTTTTTTGTATATGATACATTTTTACGAATAAACCTACATACGGTTTGCATTTCTTAGTTAAAAAAAACCTTTTCATTTAAAAGATGTAACTAAATAAGCAAAAAGTGTATCCAAATTCAACTTTTGAACAAGTCCCGCTCAAGTCCTCAGTGCAGCTGGTATTTTATAGTATATTATTTACATAAATACTAAATAGTATATTTCTCAAAGCCGTATTTCTCTCACTCTCTCTAAAACAGCTTTCGTTCCTCTCTTTATACCGTACTTTAAGTGTGCAGCTGGTATTTTATAGTATATTATATATACTGAATAGTACATTTCTCAAAGCCGTATGCAGTACATTTGAAAAGTTGCTACCACGGTCACACAGATTTTACAGTTTTAAAAACTCGCACACGTGCATTTCGAGACCGCCTTTTTTATTCCCTTTATTTACATCGAAATTCTGAATATTTGGACACAAGGCGACGAGCACACATAATTCAGGATGGTGAAGAAGAAAATAGACAACCGGATACGGGTGATGATCGAGAACGGCGTGAAGCTGGGCCACCGCACCATGTTCATTGTGATCGGCGATAAGGCGCGCGACCAGGTGCCGATCCTGTACGATATTCTGACTAAATCCACAGTGAAAGCGCGACCCACGGTGCTCTGGTGCTACAAGAACAAGGATGAGGCCATATCGAAGTGGGTTTCTGCCTGGTCAATGTTTAAATACTTTTTAATTGATGAGTTTTCCTTTTCGTAGCCATGGGAAGAAGCGTGCCAAGAAGATAGCCGTGGGCAAGGTGGATGTAAACGAGGCGGATCTGTTCGATTCATTCCGAGTGGCCACCACCATCCATGGCAGATACTACTCCGAAACGCATGCGATACTGGGGCGAACATACGGCGTCTGTGTGCTGCAAGACTTTGAGGCACTGACACCAAATCTCCTGGCCCGCACTGTGGAAACGGTGGAGGGCGGCGGCCTGATCATCCTACTGCTAAAGACCATGCAGTCCCTAAAGCAGCTATACACCATGAGCATGGATGTGCACAAGCGTTACCGCACGGAGGCTCACCAAACGGTCACCTGTCGGTTCAATGAGCGCCTGATCCTGTCCCTGGCGGACTGCCAGCGCTGTCTGGTGGTCAACGATGACCTCACTGTGCTGCCTTTGAGCTCCAAGACCATCAATGTGACGCCGGTCAACGTAAGATTGTACATTTTCAATTGAAGTTCAGGAATTTACCAAATTTGCTTTAATTTCTATTAGCCCGATGGTGCTGGTCGCTCGCCCAACGAATCCAGTTTAAAGGAGCTCAAGGAGAGCCTGTTGAATGTACAGCCCGCAGGGGCCTTGGTTAATCTCTGCAAGACCTACGACCAAGCGAATGCCGTGGCACAGTTCATTGAGGCCTTGGTGGATAAGCAACTGAAGCCGCCAATGTCTCTGACAGCGGCACGTGGTCGTGGCAAATCGGCTGCTCTTGGCCTGTCCATTGCCGCCGCTGTGGCCTTTGGCTATGTGAACATCTATGTGACATCGCCACATCCGGAGAATCTGATCACACTCTTCGAGTTTGTCCTCAAAGGCTTCGATGCGCTGGAGTATCAGGAGCATGCCGACTACACAATCATCCGGTCCACGAATGCCGAGTACAAGAAGGCCATCATAAGAATAAATATAACGAGGAGCAGCCGCCAGACGATACAGTATATAGCGCCCAGCGACACACATCTCCTGAACGCTGCCGATCTGCTGCTAATTGACGAGGCAGCTGCCATTCCCCTGCCGCTGGTAAAGAAGATGATTGGTCCGTATTTGGTATTCATGGCGAGTACTATCAATGGCTACGAGGGCACCGGCAGATCCCTCAGCTTGAAGCTCATCTCCCAGCTGCAAAAGGATAACAATGCGAGGCCGCCACTAAAGCTGGAAGAGTCGATCCGTTATCAGGAGAACGACGACATTGAAAAGTGGCTGATCAATTTACTATGCCTGGATGCCAGCACAGTGCCTGGCATTAGCTCTGGCTGTCCTACGCCCGATGCCTGTGAGCTGTACTATGTGGACAGGGATGCTCTCTTCTCGTACCACAAGGCAGCAGAGGCCTTCCTTCATCGGCTCGTCTCTATATATGTATCGTCGCACTACAAGAACACACCGAACGACCTGCAGATGATGAGCGATGCACCGGCGCACCATCTTTTCTGCCTGCTGGGACCTGTTCAACGAATGGACGCCCTACCCGAGATCCTGGTGGTTATCCAAGTGGCCCTGGAGGGTCAAATATCGGCACAGAGCATCAGCGATTCGCTGGGCAGAGGCAAGAAGGCGGCCGGTGACCTAATACCCTGGAATATAGCGGAGCAATACGGAGATCGAGACTTCCCCAAGCTTGGCGGCGTGCGGATAGTGCGAGTGGCAACGCATCCGAACTACCAGCGAATGGGCTACGGCAAGCGGGCCATTCAACTGCTGAAGGATTACTATGGAAATAAGTTTACCAATATCGATGATGTTCCTGCCAACAAGAGTGCCAAAGCCGGCATAGAGGAGGTGGAGGAGGAGCAGCTGAGCCTGCTCAAGGAGCAGATCCGACCCAGGAGTCGCATACCCACCCTTCTGCAGCGCCTGCATGAACGCACCCCGGAATCTGTGGACTATATTGGAACCTCCTATGGCCTCACCTCCGAGCTGTTGAAATTCTGGAAGGGAGCCGGCTTTGTGCCCGTGTATCTAAGCCAGAAATCCAACGAACTGACCGCCGAACACAGCTGCATCATGCTGCACACCATCAGTGAAGGCTCCTGGCTGCCGCTCTATTTCCGGGACTTCCGACGGCGAGTACTCAAGCTTATGGGCAAGACGTTCCGGGAGTTTGAGACGAAACTGTGCCTGGCCCTGCTCAAGAATAAGATTGTGGAACAGTCCCAAGTGGAGCATCTGGACAAGCCCATGCTGGACGTCTACTTTCTGCCGCACGATCTGCAGCGCCTGGAGAGTTATGCCCGCCAACAGTCCGAGTTCCGGTTGATCCTCGATCTACTGACGGATATCGCTCAGCTGTATTTCCAGGGACGGATCGAGGGACTGCAGCTGGATCTGGTGCAGCAGGGTATTCTCCTGGCTGTAGGCGTTCAGGGTAAATCAGTGGATGCCCTCGGTCTGGAGCTCAATATGCCGGGTAACCAGCTTTTGGCCAAGTTCTTTGATGCCATGAAGCGGTGCAATAAGTGCTTTAGATCCATACTCGAGGAACACATCGAAGGCGGAATGCTGAAGGAGGCCGAACTGTCCACGGGCGAGGAACTGCAGCCACTGAGTCTGTCTCTCGACAAGGAACTGGATGAAACGGCCCAAAAGCTGAGCAAGCAGCAACGCAAGGAGCTCAAGCGACTGAAGGCCGAGCAGCTGGACGAATTCCAGATCAAGGGCAGCGAGGAGGACTGGTCCAAGGCCCTGCAAACCAATGGATCAGCATCAGCGGGCGGTGGCAGCGGGCTGCTCTCCGTCAAGAGGTAAATGTAATGTTTTTGAATGAATGCAGACTGGAGGAGGATACAAAAATTGACCCTGCCATTCTCTCTCTCTTTCGTTTCAGTGGCGTCAAGCGCTTGGATGGACCAATGGACCTGCCCGAGGACCGGGATCTGGCTGCTCCGCTGTCTAAAAAGAAAAAGAAGAACAATCCCAAGCTAAAACGCAATCAGGGAAAGTCCCTGATCTAGATACAGGCATTGTTTTTTTGTTTTGGGGGGAAAAAAATAATGTAGTTTTTAATGCTATATAGAAAAGTACATACATTTCGTTATAAGCTCCGTTTCAAAATAAAAAGAGCACTTAATCGACCTATATCTTGATGGTGGGCGTACCCGCCTTGGCGGCAGCAGCGGCAACCTTGCGACGCTCCTTCAGATCCTGGTAGCTGACTCCCGGCTCCTTGTGGGAATTGCGGAGATACTTCTTGACCTTGGCCTTCTTTCTGCTGACGGCCTTCGTCGTGGGAAGCATATTGTTACGCTGCAGCATATGGAAGCGATCCTTCAACAGGCTGCTCTCCGTCTTCACGTTGCGCAGATTGCCGGCTATATCCTCGGGCAGATTGACATCCACATCGGGCTCCTCGAACTTGTGCCGCCCCAGACGCTTGGGCTCGAACTTTGCCTTCTCGGCACGCTGCTTGCGACGCTTCTTGAGATCGTTTAGATCCTCCTCCTCCTCGTCCAGCTCGTGGCGAATCGATTTGATGCTTTACAGGTAATAATTTCGATTGTATTCTAGATAATTTATGATATAATAATAATCCTTACCGTATCAGATCTGCCGTCTGTTGCTTGAGCTTCCTTTTCAATTCCGTTTGGCGCTGAAGCTCTTTCTGCTTCAGCTCATTGCGGCGTGCCTGCTTGCTTTTCTTCTTGTTCTCGACTGGAGCATTGATTGTGTGATAAGGCTTATCGGCATCCTGCTCCTCATTCTCCTGCTCCTGCTCCTCAGCATTCTCCTCATCCTCAATGCCCTGACTCATTTCCTGCAGATGACGCTTGTCCCGCTCCTCGGGCGTCACCTTGGAGAACATGCTGGTGGTCACACGCTTCAAATGCTGCTCCTTCTTGATAATGCCCTGCTCACGCTCCACCACCTGGTCGATGAGCGCCTGGTGATCTTCAGCTGAAGGATTGTAACTCATACCCGGATGCGGCAGCTCAAATTTCCTATAAAATTGAGAGAAGGAAGCCTGTTAATCATCATTTTATGCCACAAATGCGGCTCATTTTCATACTTTGCCCTGGTGGTCTTGTGGTGCAAGCTGGCATGCGTCTTCACCACCTTCTTGCCAATATTTCCGGCTGTATGAACGGCCAATTCCCGACTGATCCAACCCTTTTCATCCTTCAATCCTGGTATCGCGTCACGGAAGTCAACCTCCTGCCAAATATCCTTGTCGGCCACAACCTTCTTGTTCTTCTTGGCCTCCAGACGCTGCTCCAGCTTGCCGTAGTAAGCAACGCGATCGCTGTTGGCCTGACGATGACGCGGCTTGGTGGGATTGCACACCTCCAGCTCAATGTTGCGGCCGTTCTTCTTCTGCTTTACATGATTGCTGTGATAATTGATAATTTTATAAACATGAGTTGTATTCGCCTGAGGAAGGCTGTCCAAGCCAGGACTTACCGCTTTACTATGGGATCCTGGACCTTAGATGTGTTTTCCAATGCCTGATGACTCCGCATCGGCTTCTTGGCGTTCAGCTTCCTCTTCTGCTTCACACTCAGCACCGAGGTCTTGGCTTTCTGAGGCGAAGCATCCTCCACGAAGATATCTTCATCCTTTTTGTCCGCAAATGACCTGAAATTGGATGGCAACTTGTCGTTGAGCTCGTGCTTGCGGCATTGTTTTGGTCGCAAACTCACCCGACACGCTCCTCCTGGCGCTGGTCTTCGAGGAACTGCTCCACATCCTGAATGTCTGTCTTGCGCCACGCGGACTTGTTCTTCTTCGAGATGCGCTTCCTCTTCGTCCCAGGCTCCACGGCAGTCATTTCTACAGATTATTATTTGCAATGCGGGAGAAATAACAAGTTCCCCACGTGCAATCTTCGGACCACGCTTTCCAACACTGCTTTTCGGGTGCTGTACGGCACTGATTCCGATAATTTACATCGATGCATCGATGAGAAGTGTAAAATTGTAAAATGTTAAATAACATAACAAAAAATACCAGAAAAAATCCATATATTGGTATTTTATTTCAACAGCAACAACATCTAGTAGCAATTGTTGCACGCTTAATTTATAATTGCAAAAAAAGACAAAAGCAAACTAACAACCACTTGTGAGCTGGCGGTTAAAGGGGCAAACCCATTAAAGAGCAGATCAGACGTCGTCACCGGAATAGCGTAAATCAGAACACGCATCACGCTCCGGCAATAACAAAAAAAAAAAATGCCGGTAAGAGAAAGACTGACGTGTACCAAACAAAAAGCGGTAAACAAACGTTGTTGTTATTTTGTGATTTGTTCTTTTTTTTATTGCCACAGTGAACACTCGCAGTTGATTTAATGTTGTACCTTTTATTACCCGAGAATTCTGATTAGTCTATTATTGTAACGAGAGAAAAAACACCTCTCAGAATACCTCACTCGATTAATTAAGAAAAAGCTCAAATAACGGGTTGGCTCTAGCGAGTATTTACCGTATTTTGTTCTATTTTTTTTACAGTTTTCGCTACTCGTCTTGTGCTGTCGCTGATTACTACGTGTTATCTATCCCTCTGCCAGAATAAATAGTTTAATTTGTTACAAATAGCCGATCGAGTTCCCCCGGCAACGACAGACGCATCGTAATCGTCAAAATGAGCGCTACTTTCCCCAGTTTCGCGGACATTTCCTCCAAGTTCTCCGAGGCGACGCTGGACGAGATCATCCAGAATGTGGGCGGTACACGTCACACCTCGTACAAGTTTGGGCCGAGTGGCAAGAAGGGCGATGCCTACCTGAGCCGCGTCTTCCGCATAACCATCTACGGTGTGAAGGAGGAGGATGGGGAGGAGCAACCCGTGGAGGTCAGTGTGATTGTGAAGGCCATGCCGGACAACCTCCACCGTCGCCGACTGTTCCGATCGGTGATATTCTTCCGCAACGAGATCAACTTTTACACCAAGGTCATCCCGGCCATTGAGGCTTTCCAGAAGTCGCGTAAGCCCCAGGCCAAGCATCCGTTTGTGGAGTATCCCAGATGTGTGGCATCGCTCTGTGACGGAGTCAATGATTTTATTGCCCTAGAGGATGTGGGTCCAAGGGGCTACAGGGCTCCTGTGCGGTGAGTTTTTCTATCTGAAACATTATTAATAATGTTATGTTAGATATAGATATAGATGTCCCCAAAAAACTGACGTGTCTTTGTGGGGCAAGCTGTTTAAATATGTTAAGTTATTTTTCTAATCTGTTTATTAGAAAGTCTAGTCTTATTTATTCAGTTTGCTTGGTCTGGTCTAATCATTAAGTCTCCGATAAAGCTATCAATGATAATTGCAGAAATAAGCATATTTTAGTTTTAATTAAAGGTTTTAAATGTCATAGTTCTTGATCGTACATAGAAAGCTTTGGTTTTGGCATATGCTGCGCTCATTTCCTATATATTACTTATCATTCTATTAGATTTTAATTTGGAAAATTAACCAGGAAGGGATTATAAGTATATTATTTATTTAATATATTAGAATCTTATCAAACAAATAGTTCACAATCAGTGATAAACTTGCACATAATCAGTCAGAGATTAGGATCTATAAGAAATTTGTTTGTTTTCACCCTTTTTAACAAACAAAATGTAGTTTTCCCGGATGATAAGATAATTGAAAACTATTCCTGATTATTATATATTATTTCAAAGACATTTTTTCGTCAAATTAATGTGTTAAAAAACTCATAACTAAGCCAAAAGTGCATTAATTTCAATTCGAAAAGCTGTTCTGTACTAGTTATTATTAGGTTAACAAATCTGCATACTCAATTTTAAATTTAAACAAATTTAAAATTTTGCCAATTTTTTTTTTTTTAATTTTGACGATGTAGCCCCTTAAAAATTTTTGAAAAAATTGAGTACATTTTTTTTTACCAAATAATGTCTAAAAAGACTCTCCTGTTGATGTTGATCAAGAATATATATGATTTGTGGGGTCGGAAATGGCTCCTTCACACTCTTTTAAGCTTCTTATTAAAGGTGCAATACCATTTTTCATCGATATTAGCTATATTTTTATATGCAAATTTTTTCGACAAACCAAAATTTAAAAAAATTCATATCAAAGCCAAAAATTCATTAATTTTAATTCTTAAAGCTGCCCTGCATTAGTTTTTAATAGGTTAATAAATCTGCATTCTCAATGTAAAATGTACAAAAATTCATTTTTTTTTTTAAATTTTAACGATGTAGCCCCTTAAAAAATTTTGAAAAAATTGAGTAAAATTTTTTTCTACCAAATAATGTCTAGGAAGACTCCCCTGCTAATGGTGATCAAGAATATAGTTACAAGCTCCTGACTATAATTACAATACCCTGCAGAGGTATACAAATACCCTTAAAAAACCTATAAAAAAAACATTTTTAAAATCTATAAAATTTTTTAAAGCAACTCTTAATTAGTTTACATTAGCATTTCCTTTTCCCAATCTAATTATAATTCCTTTATTCCATTGTTTTACAGCCAGGACTACATTTCTTTGGAAGATGCCCTATTGACGATGAAAACCCTGGGTCGTTTCCATGGCGTGGCTCTTGCCTTCAATGCCCTGGATCATGAGAACTTTGAAAAGGCGGCCGCTTCCCTGGAGGAGACATATTACGGCGAACACACCCGGGAGTGGTACACAAAATTCCTGCTGCTGGCCGAGAATGTGGCCAAGGATGCCATAACGCATATCTATCCGAATAGCAAGTACGAGACCATTAGCGACAACTTCCTGCAGCCGCCACTCTTCGATGATTTGATCAATCTGGTGTCCACGCGCTCCAAGCTGAGTGTCTTCGGGCACGGCGATTGCTGGACCCCCAACTTCCTGACCAAATACGATGAGCAGGGCAAGTCGGAGAAGATCATTATCATTGATTTCCAGCTGGCAAGATGCTCGTCTCTGGCCCTGGATCTGAGCTTCTTCGTCTATTCATGCACCAGCCAGGAGCTGCGTGAGCAGCACTACGATTCACTGCTGCGAGCCTATTTGGAGAGTGCCCAGGAGTTGATCCGTGATTTGGGTGGTGATGCCGAGGCCGTTATTTCGTGGGACTCACTGCAGGAGGAGCTGAAGAATTTCGGACGCTTTGGTTGCGGCATGGGCATTGAATCCCTGCCCATGACCATGATGGAGGACGAGGAGGTGGCCGATTTGGATAGCATTCAGGAGAATGCCATTCTTACGGACGTGTGGAACCTAACGCCGTTCACGGATACCAGCAAGCAGCAACGACTGGCCGATATCTTCAAGCATGCCATCGATCAGGGCTACATCAAGTAGGAAGTTCGTATTGGGGCAATAATTTCTGGGACCGCCTACCTGTGCGCCCCTTCTTTTTCCGCGATCAAATCAAGATCATTTAGTATTGCAGAATTTATCCATGTAACCATTATGATGCATGTACAAAATATATAGCTTCAACATTGTTAACATAACTTTTACTGATTTTAAATGAGAGAACACAATCTTTATAAGATATAAGATATAACTGATGAATAAGTGTATATATAACATCTAGGCTGAAAAGGGCATATATGTACACAGTGCTGGTTGCTGGAGCTAAAGCTTGATCTGCAGCAGGACTCGGAACTCGGCAGCCTGTTGCCTGTTGAGGGAAGGCAGTGGAATGACCATTTAAAGGCACATGCCTTCATGGAGGACACACCAGTGCGGCGTCACTGCATCCGCATGAATGCCACGGGCCAAAAGTCGCTCGCGATACCGATAGAATCTCCTTTGGGCCAATAATACCGATGATTTTGGATCAGACCACAAACGTTCAGCGGCTGCTCCGGCCCTTGGCCAAATGCGAGATTCTGTAAGAGATTGGATCGGTCATTACTAATTGATTTTGTTCTTTTAATTTCAGGTATACTTACCCAATGAGTTTTGGTCCACGTACTCGCTCCACATGCACACCTCGCCACCAAGAACCTGATCCTTATTCCGGGCAACGGGCATACCACTGGAGTACACAGTGCGCCAGTTGTAATAGGAAGTGCTGCCCCAGAATCCGTGATCCAGATACCAGGCATTCTTGGTGGACACAATCAGGCGATATCCACGCTGCAACAGCTCCCGGTTGAGAGGATCCGATGAATCGACCCAGGTTTGAATTATGAACCGCTCCTTGGGCAAATAGGCTTCGATGTACTTGGGATTGGTGAGGTGGCTGGACCAAATGATCACCGGCTTGGGCTCCTTAATGTCCGGGAACATACGCTCATTGATCTCGTCCCAGGAATTGAGATTCTTCTGATGGAATTGTGACCACAGGCGCAGGAAGCTCTGTTCACTGAGATCATAGCCCCGTTCCCGCATACCGTTCCGAATCTCAGCGGTATTATTCCAGCACGGCAGGAACACCTCATCGCCGCCCATGTGCAGGGTTTCCTCCGGTGCTCCCAGTTCAGCAACATCTTCGAAAATCTCCTTCATTACGGCGTACATGTGATCATTGAGGGGATTCAGTTGTCCGCATGGCGGTTGGACACAGAATTGCCGCCAAGGCGACTCATTCAGGCACACAGACATATTGCCCAGACCGGCAGCTGGACCCCATTGCCATCCATTGCCGGCATGCGAAGGACCATCGATCTCGATCAAAATGCGAATACCACGAAGGCGGGCATACTTCACCAGATTGAGAGCATCCTGACGGGAGTATGATTGCGACGTGGAATATGCTCCATAGCGCTGCATTTCGGGCACTCTGGTGATTTCCAGCGGGAAACTATGCGTGTCCACGACATGCCAGTGGAGCACATTCATCTTACTGGCCGCCATCGCATCCAGTGTACTCCTCAGGAATTTCAGAGGCACAAAGTTCCGGGCTGAGTCCAGGAGAACACCGCGATGTGGATAGACTGGACGATCGGTGATATTGGCCGCTGATACCATCAGCAGACCATTGGACACACTACCAGCGACCAAGTTTGTCAACGTTTCGAAGGCATGACGTGCTCCGTACACCGTTCCCGCCTGGATATCCACAAATGTGGCCGTGTCTGTGGTGCGCACCACCAGCGCATAACTCTCATCGGTGGCCCAGTCCAGGATCAGGGTTTCATTAGCCACCGTGGCCCTCACCAGGATCTGCTTACTGCTCTCCAGCGTACAGTTTCGAGTGCATTCCTTCAGCAGGTTGGAGACAAACAGACGATTGGTTTCCCTTAAAAATTGCGTAGCCGCCTCGCCGGGTGCCACCACATGGAATCGCACCTTCCAGGGATCAAAGCGAACTCGATCGTTCGATATGGTGCACTCCTTACCCGTGGGCATGGGCCAGATAGCTCCATACTTTCCGCAGGACAATCGACAATCCCGCTGGCTCTCAAAACGTTCGGAACCATAGTGCACGCCCTGCACCCGTTCCGCCTCCGGTGTACAGAACTCCGTCTGGCTGCATAGCCACTTCCTGGAAAGGTGAAAAAGGGAGGGTTTGTTCAAAATTTATTAATTAAAAATATATAGAAAAATATTAGTACAATCCATTGAGATGTCTCCTTCAAAAGTAAAGGGTATTCGACTATTTATTAAATTTGAATCCCTTGTCGAGAAAGCAAAGGGTTTTTTGTCTAATTTTCTGAAACACAGAGATCTGATCTTGAAAATGGGCTTTCTAGGCTTGGTCTAGTTAAAAATTAGTTAATCCTTATGTATAGTAAACGTTTAAAATGAAATAAATACAGAATTATAATAATACAAATACCAAAAGTATAAATAATTAATTTATACAATAAAATTGTATGTTAAAGATTATTTTTAGTAAACAAAATGTTGCCTACTTTCTGTAGGGAACTGTGTTTTCTATATATACAAATTGCCATGAGTGACGATAAGACCTTATCTACATATATACAAGTTTATCGAGGAAGTGCCACAAAAATAACTTAATAGCAAAAATAATAAGTGATTGCAAAAAACATAAATTCACTAGTTAAACACTCGTTAAAATGAAATACGTTTTAATTACTTCATTATTTTTTACAACCTTTAAAGTTGTTCACAATTAAAGACTTTTTAATTACCTTATTTTTTGCAAGCTTTAAAAATTATAGAGTTAAGAAAAGCAGCTGTTTTTTAAGATAATTGGTTAAAGGTGTAATATGTATTAGTCATAAATGCAATTTGCCTATATAATATTGTTTCATTTAACCCTCGCAGAGTAGTGAAGGAGTCATTTTCGACCCTATAAATCATATATATTCTTGATCAGCATCAAAAGCCGAGTCGATCTAACCATTATTTGGCCGAAAAAAATTTTCACATTTTTTCAAAATTTTATAAGGGGTTACATCGTTAAAATTGTAAAAAAAATGGCGAAAATTTTAATTTTTTTATAATTTCAAATTGAGTATGCAGATTTTTTAACCTAATAAAAACTAGCACAGAAATGTTTTCCGAATTAAAATTAACGCTTTTTTGGCTGAGTTATGGTATTTTTTTAATTTGATTTTCCTTATAAAATGAACATATAAAAATATATTGGTTTCGTGCCTTCCTTTCTTGTTTTATATTTCATTATATCTTAAGAAATGTGCAATCCGTTATCAATACTGCATTTTATATATATATTTAAGTATATTTTTTTAACAAAGACTTAAAAATCTGAATGAGAACAGAACACAATTGTTTTCTACAAAAATCGTATTTTTTATGGCTGGTTTTTAATTCAAAAACTTATTTAAACAAATTTATAGTTTCATTTGCAAAACGTAACTTGATTTAAATTTCGTTTTAAAATCACAAATATATTTCAGATCACTGAACAAAAAATAATATACTAAAACCGTTATACACTATTGTTTTCTGTTATTTTTAGGCACTTTAAATTGTATTTTTAATGTAAATATTGTTAAACAAAGTTTAAAAATGTTATTTTTGGTTATTAGGAAATATTTACTGATTTGTTTAAATAATTCCTTTTCTTTGCCACTTTGCGATATCTCTCTTGTTTTCACCCGCATTTTCCGCCTACGCTTTCACTTCGCACACAAATTGAGTTTAGTTGGGTGCAATTTCGCATGCTAATTGCATTTCCACAGTTTCGCGAAAGCGACTTTTCTTGACTTTTCATATGCAACTATAGATATTTCTTGTATTTTTTGTTGTTGTGGAGACACAAACCTGCTGGCGGTGTCGACGTCGGCTTCGTCCGCCTGCGTCAGCGCAGCCCCAACTGCGAGGCAGAGACAGAGGGAGGCGAAGGTGGAGCAATGATAACGGTTGTAGCCGCTGAACCGCATCTTCCTTTCTAAGCGCTCCGCAGCTGCGCCGCTAGCTTTTATTTATTCATGCAAGCACTCTCGGAAAGCGGAGCAAAACAAAACCGAACCGAACTCAATCGAAAAGGAAAATGACAAATGAAACAAACGAAACTGGGCGAAAAATTTCACTTGCAGTTGTGGCGCGCAACAACAACTACAACAACAACGGCGAAGCAACGCCGAAGCCGAATTAAAAGCGAAGCCGAGCTTAACGACAGAATTAAAAAGCGGGGAGAGAGTGCGGATAACGGAATCGGAGAGCGGGTGGATAACACACAGCGGCAGAGAATGAGAAATAGAGAGAGAGTGTGTGAGATAGTTGCACAGAAAAAAACCGGATCCTTTTCAACCGGATATGAACACACACCCCTTAAGAATGTGATTGTACAATTTCTAAATTAATGCATATCCTCTTAATAATTGGGTGACAACAAAATGTATAGAATTTAATGCGTTATTTTTCGTATTCTATGTGTAAATTTAAACAAAATATAATCCTATTTAAATATTTTTCGAAACAAACGTATAAGTGTAGTTACATTTCATAAATACTTCGAATCCAAAGATACACATACTTTATACGCAATGAAATAATTCTTATTCTCTCTGTGTAGGGCACTGGAATAAGAATCAGAATTTCCCCCTTGCTCTCTTAGGCCCACCGCACCCTCTGCTATGTGTGGCCCACATACGGAAATCGTGGGGTGAGTGATAAAATATAATATATATATATATACATATACATATATATGTACAGTAAAAGAACCGCAACGGGAAAAACAACAACGACAATAAAACCATGGGCAGAAAGCTGCCAGTAAGTTTAATGCCAAAAAAAGAAACAAGAAAATACGAAATGTAAATGCTCTTTAATTAAAATTGTAGATCCATTTCGAAGCTGTCATTAACATTTAATGGAAATTGAAATTCTATAGGAAGAGTATACCTACATATATGATTCGAGTGTTAATTTTCTTATATCTATAGATAAACATTGGATTACAAATAGGAACATAAAATTTAATGGAAATTATACATATATTGTAAATATGTTTTATTTATTTATATGTTTATAAAATTAATTATATATTTATTTCATAGAAATCTTTATAGATAAAGATTGGATGGTAAAATCACAATATTGCTCAGTTTGGCATATCGCAAACACATGCCTAATATTATGGGTGATTATCAGAAAAAAAAGAAGAAAAGCTCTGCTGAAAGTTAAATGTGGCAAATCGAAAATGATTTGATAAGGTAAAGCGTATTTATTTGATAAATTTTGAATGTATATAGACGGGGAGCAACAGTCTGAGATTCTATATAAGTTAGTGAATTGATCATAAAAAAACCCCCCGCAAAAGATACAAGATACTTTTGTATTCAACTTTGTTTCAGATTAAAATTTGTTTTCCAATAAAATTCATTCCTTTATTATCGTAAAATACACTACGTTTCACCACTAAAAAACAATATGAGTGTACATTTAGATCTGTGTTAAGTACGTTAAATATTTAATTAATAATTTTCATTAGATACAAGATACAAATCCTTTGAACCCAAAAATGATTATTTTTTGGATGTAATTTTTCTACTTACTGCTTACAGCTTAATATTCCTAATACTTCTTGTATAATTTAATTAAAATATTTAAAATTACAGCTTAATATTCCTAATACTTTTTGTATTATTCAAAGAAAATATTTAAAATTGATATTATGATATTTTAAATACCTAAACTAGTCTGATTTAAGCTTATTGGAATAATATAGTCTTCCTTAATATCTGTGAAACGCACTGTACTTGCACCCTCATTATTGTTTCGATAAAATGTTGGAGCATGTTGGAAAATATATTAAAAAAGAAAATAATATTTGTGTGTGAGTGACTGGGCATTGTTGATTATTATTTTATTGTATTCGGCATTCACACATCTAGTTCTTATGGCTGCCCAGTGCTCGTCCTCTCTCACTCTTTATCATCTCTCCCTTTTTTTATATATTAATAATATGTATTATTATGTGGTTGCTGGCTTGAATTCCAATTCCAATTCCATTTCCATTCCCATTTTATTTCCATGGGCGCCTTTTGTGCGCCTTCCAAATGAATTTTGAATTATGCGATAGCGCCGCCTTCGTCTATTGTGTGTGTTGTTCTTGTTTTATTTTATGTTTTTTTTTTATTATTATTATTTGTTGTTTTTGCGCCCATTGTTGTAGCCTGTAGAGCATGTGTGGGTCTGGGTATAACTGTGTGTGCTTAGAATGTAAAATTATAATAATTAAAAAGGAGTGTGCGATGGTTTAATGGAAAGATTGAGATGGATGCACTTAATGCAATAGTTTTTACTTAAAAAATGTTATACCTAAATACTCTCCACGGCTTAAATACTCACCTCAATCTACATATTCACCACATAATACTATTTATATTATAATTTAACTTGAAAACCCTACTGGGATGAATTGTAAACTTGTTTTTGAAAACTCCCTTTAACTTAATACTCACAATTGTTTATCTTAAATATTTAATTTATTTTATTATTATTTATTTATTTGTTGAATTTATAATTTAAAGGTATAATTTGTATTTCACTTTCCTCAATATAAGCTGAGATATTTTTCCTAAGCTTCCATCTCTAGGGGGATTCACACACATGTGAGCAGGGCAAATGAGTTTTGCCCAACTCGGACACCAGGTCCTGAACGAGGATTCCCAGTATGGGGGAGGAAAGGAGCAGAAAGGACCAGCAGCAGGACCAGGACGAAGACCAGGATCAGGAGCTGGAACGGGAATCGGAATGTAGGCAGTAGTAGTAGTAGCATCATGATGAGTAGCAGCTGCAGCTGCCCATCCTTTCTGACTTGGCGCCTCCTGTCGCTCCAGGACAATGCAGATGCACAGATGCAAGGCCTGATGCACTGAGATAAAAATACTAAGATAATTTGAAACATAACCTGATCACAAATAATTTATTTTTGCAAAAATAATACATTTTTTTAATGCTAAAAATACTTTAAAATTTGCAATATGTATCCAATAGTTCACAAATTAGAAATCTTCTGTATACTTTATATTTCTTTTTGATAAATTAACACTCAAATTTTTATGATTATTTATTATTTATATATTTTATGTTATGTATTTATTAATATTTTTTAATTGTGTAAAAAAGGGTTGTGGGAAAGGGACTTGGAACTCAGCGCGTCGCCACTGATTATGATGTTGATTACATTGCGGCTGCATCTCATACCGCCCTCTCCCTTGGTCACGCCCAAAACGCCCAAGCTCTTTTCATACACCGTAAAAAAAAGGATAACTTGTGAAATAATATGTAATAATATAATATTGAAATGCAACTAACACAAATTTTTATATAAATATCTTTTGCAATTTATATTTCACGATTTCAAGAAACTATTAACAAAATCGTTTGCTTCGCCGCTATTAAAATTCCCAACTGACGATTCAGGATATTGAGGTTAGTAGCTAATGGTTAAAACTATCAGGATCTTGTCAGCTAGTTTTAACATTTTTATTTGTGATACAGATATATTATTTTTATAATTTTCTCCGTGCATGATTTAGAACCGGATGCAGATCCCGGTTCCGTCAGACATGGGTCCTTCATTCAGATTCCATCAGTCACCGCTCTGACTGCCCCCCAGTTCCGTTCCCCCTCCGCCACAATGCGGCTGCTTAGAACAATGCAAGATTAAAAAACTGTAACAAATTACAAGCAAAACGGCAAATAAATTACACAAAAAACCGAGAGCTGCAAATAAAAAATAAAAAAAGAAAATCAGTAGAGAGCAGAAAGATTGAAACAAAAACCAAGCGCAAAAAGTTGCAGCTACCAATGGGGGGAGTGGAAAATGTGAGGAGGAACGTGGAACGTGGCTGAGGTCAGCGGACCTGGGACTTGTCATACGATGGGGGGGGAGGTCGGAAAATGGGGGGGGGGTAAGGTGCATATTTGGAAATTCAAAGTTAAAGGAAAAGTTAATTTGAGCTTTGTGTTTTCGGACTAGAGCCAAAGAGGGAAGTCTTTTATTTAATTTTAATTCTAACAGTAGGTTTCTTACATTGCTTAAACAAATATAAATATATAAAATCTGATATAAAATAAATATAGTATTGCCATAAAAAATGTGGTATATATAGAAATGTTTGATATATTTGAAAATATCTATACCCTTGCAAGGTATTATAATTGTAGTTCGAAGCTTGTAACGATGTGAAAGAGTCACTTCCGACCCTATAAGTCATATATATTCTTGATCAGCATCATCAGGCGAGTTTTTTTAGATATTATTTAGGAGGAAAAAATGTATAAAATTTTATGCAAATTTTATAAGGGGTTACATCGTTAAAAATTTTGAACAATTTTTGGTCAAAAATTAAAATTGTTGTAAACTTTAAATTAAGTATGCAGATTTATTACCACAATAAAAACTAGCACAGAACAGCTTTCTAAATTGAAATTAATTCATTTTTGGCCAAGTTATGATATTTTTAAAATTTGATTTATCGTAAAAATTGTCATATAAAATTATGAATAAATATCGATTCAAATGTTTTAATTTTAATTATGATCGATTTGCAATTTGATTTTATATTTGAATTGCAAACTAAAAGGGCAAATAAGCTTCGGCTTCGCAAAATTGGTTTCTTTGATTGTTTATTAATCAATTTAATAAATATTTAAAACATAAACTACTTAACAAATACACTACAATCAGTATTTAATTTATCTTCTTACTATTACTACTTACTACTATATTTTTCAGTATAGGGTACCCCAAATTCGTGTTTATGGTGGTAACCTTTTCCTTGGCTTTGCCTTTCTTGCTTTTATTTATTTTTTATTTGGTTTTTTATTGTTTGCGATGGGCACAGGTGGCTGACGACTAAACGTTTGGCCCTTGGAACAGGGGGGAATGGGTGTGTGTGTGTGTGCTGGTGGGTGTGGAGGGGGGGTGGATAGAGGAATCATCGTCGAAGTGATCGGAAGTGGATGAGGTTTATTCCAGTGTTGTTGTTGTGGCTGCTTGTTGCCTTCGCCAGGGGAGGGCTGTCGAACAATGCAAATTGCAT